ATTAGTGGTATTTAACACCCCACTCCAATGCTACTATTTATGCATAATCTTGGATTGAGAGTTCATAAGAAATTAGGTAAAAGTATTCCATATATTGACTGAGGGGGGAAAATGTCATATAATTCAGCACGTTAAAAAATAACATTTCATATCTTGTTTCTATGTGCACATCACCACCCAGCTGTTGTTTCTTTATGGGCAAAAGGATGTTGTGAGACTGTGATGGAAGAAAGCAACATTTTGCAGATGGGATGTGAGGACTGGTGTCCTATATCACCCAACAGAATGTAGTGGTTCACCACATGGTTCTGCAGCCTGGTGGGAAGGTACCTTTGAAGTACCAGCTCTAAGACATTTACTCTCCGAAGGCCTGGGACTTCAGGAAATCTATATCGCCCAACAGAATGTTGATGACCTCTTTTTTTCTCCAAGCTATTGTTACTGGGAGTTGCCAAAGTGTTCCCACTATCCTCTCCTCCATAACAAGGTGGAAAGAGGTGTTGGGTAACTCCTTCTAAAGTGTCCAGCAAAATGCATTCTACTATAACCCCAGATTTTACAAGCATTTGTCACTCCAAGACTCTGGCCATCGAATTTAGCTGTGAGGAATTCCAGATATCCATTTCCTTTCCTTTTTTCATCATCACCATTAATCATGTGAGCTGCAAATTGGTCTGGGTGTTGGACTATGACTCCAGAGACTAGGGTTCAAATATTCGCTTGGCCATGAAAACCCACTGTTGACCCTAGGCAAGTTAACACTGTTATATTTCAGAAAACCCTTTGATAGGGTCACCATAAGTTGAAAACATACACTAAGAAATTAATAACCATTTCACCATTGTAGAAACACATCTTATGTTCCAGTGCCGAGTTAATGTACTAGTCACATCAAAACTAAACATTGTCATATGGATCAAAATATCATAGGCCTGCAGTGAAAACTATGTAACTTTGAATTCCGAGGCAAACACAATGTGAATGTTACAATCTTCCATTCTGAGTTTGTTTTCCTCTTATGTTCAGTATAGGGAATATTTTGTTGTGTATTTTCTATTAAATGTACAGGATCCTACATGCATATAGATATATTACAAATTAAAAATCTCTGGCCAAAACGCAAAGTTCGTTTGATGGATTTTTCTTTTTGTTGTTGCTTATTTGCGCTTAAAGCAGAGGTGGGAGAAGTCCAGGTTTCTTGTGAAAACAAAGTTCTGGGACTTATTTGGGTGTTGGGAATTCAGCACCATGGATAGTTCATTTAATGCTTGGCAGTAGTTCCCAACCTTTTTTTGACCAGGGACAACTTGAACAGGAACCACTCTCCAACGTTAGTACCCAAAGGGTTATGAATCAGTTTTTGGTGAACTTAAGATTCAGTTCGGTTATTTGGGATGCTGATTCAGAAAATTGCATTGGATAGACCACATGAGCTCGAGTTTCTGATACAGAATATATGCCATCCAGTAGTCGCCATCTGCTTGCCCACAGAAAACCATATTTAATAATCTAGAGCTGATGTGGTAGTAGTAATCTTTTGTGGGTAGTCAGCCTCTCCCCTCCTGACATCTCTGTTGCCTTGGCATGATAACGGGGTTTCGCAAAACAAGTTACTCTCATTGCTGTGTGGTTTCGAGGCAACAGTGTAGTACTGGTGAGGCCGCAGACAACTGGTTGTCCATTGACCACAGGTTGGGAACCACTGGATCAAAGCTCATAGTGGATTAATTCCTTTGACATGGAAGTCAACAGTGCCATTGCATATGTAGAATCAGTGGAAGAAGATCTATACCTTTCACAAGTACACCAGTGACTGGAAACATATGACTCTTGGTCAGGGCTGACAGATGTTACAGTTCAACAGTGTCTGGAAAATTACATAATCTCCATCTCCATTGTATATTAGTAAATGGAAGTGTAACTATGCGAACAATCCATAAGACTTTCATGTATCCAAGTAACAGTAGTCCACTGCTCGTGACCTGGTGACCATTGTGATTTTAAGGAGAGTGTGTGAAATACAGATGTGCAAGATGTGCAAATTGGCTCTGATTTTGCAGCTTATGTGTTGCTATGGCAACATTTAATAGTGAATGAATGTTCTTTCCAGGATTTAAATGCATGATATCATGAATGGAATTCAAGGATGCAAGTTGAGTGCCCAGTCTTCCAATATCAGATTAGTACGCAGCATGACTAAACCACTTCACTGGTAGCTGAGCATCCTCTTAGGGTTATGCTTACCTAAATTCCCTTGCACCTGCAGGTGTACTTTTTTGCCAATGTGTGATATCCAAATGTAGCGGAGGGTTCTGAAAGTGGAATTATGCATGTGTCCCATTGCATTTTGTTGCAAATTTCACACTGTGGATGGCACATGGGTTTTTTTTAATCAATTGATTGCATTTAGTTGTGTTAACATTGCAATACTGTGACAAGCTGACATAGTATAACCAATGCATGCTTCTGGGAGCACAACGTTATGATAAATCTTCCCAATGCAGGCTCTCAGCCATTGGTATCTTGGGGGGATTCATTTGCATAGCTATGTACTAAAACTGGTTTATCTTCACAGCTATACATACTTAAAAACCATGGTGACAGACCTTAAAGAATTTCCTTAAACACACATAAAACCAAAGTGCCGAAACCCTACTGAGTTAATGATGGCAAGAATTTCTGTTAGTTGAATTCACAAACCAGGGGCCCTTTTACACAACATAGTTAAAGCAAGTGATTTCACTTTAATTGTTTTGGTTCCATCTTTTGGAACCCTTGTTCTTGCAGTGTATGCAGGCATATTTGCTGTTCTTCTGGCACCTCCCCAAACTACATATCCCAGATTCCATGGGTTGGAGCCATGACAATTAGGGTGGAATCATCATGCTGCAATGGTGGAGTAAGAAAGAGCTAACTGGAATTGGAATTAAGCTGATGATAAATGGGCTCCAAATGTCCTGCTTTAACTTTTTATAATGGTTCAGACAGATAGTGTCATAACTTTTGTCCTTGAAATGATATCTGGAAAATTCATTTAGAGCCAAGCTGGGGACTTTGGCTCTAAATATTACACATTCCAATCAATAAACCATAAACCTAGCAGCGGTTAAATAATTGTTTCATTGATTCCGAATGAGCAAAACTAAGCCAAGAAAACCCATTATATCAAGAATAGTCGAAAAAATTTGTATCAAGGGATCTGAGGAAGGAAGGATTAAGAACAAGGTCATGAGTGACTTTGAAAGTTGGAGGATTGGAGGCCAAGGACTTCTCTGGGTTAGTTTAGCCTGTACCGATTTCCATTTAGTACAAAATCATAGCAGTGGTGGGAATGGAGTCACTCAGACCCACTGGCCCAACTTTTAACATCTTTATCAGAGGATTCGGTGGGCTGTCCACCTTTGAATAGGCTACTATGGACAGGGATTTTATCATGTTGGGGCCTTGTTTATGGTATTCTGTCCCCTCTTCTGTTCATCCCTGATTAATTTTAAATGCCAATTAAAACTATTATGAGATACATGAGAGCTCAGTGATGCTTACTGAGCACTCACTAATGGAATGTTGCTGTTGTTGTGCGACAGTTACTGATGTGAATATGATTTGTATTACTATGTTCTGGCTGTATTCTGCCAGAATGAGAGATTAAATGATTGTGGTAAAGCATCTTGAAGAGTGAGGTTAGATGGGGTAAGATGTACAAAATACACATATTTAATTCAGTTATATATCAATGCAACAAACCACAGTATTTCAAAAATATGGATGGTTCTTTGCCCAGAAGAATATGACATATATACCTGGAGAAACGGGGTATACAAGTGAAAATAATAATAATAATAATAATAATAATAATAATAATAATAATGTTGATACTCTAATTATAATTTCATTCAAGTTGATACTCTGATGATACTTTCATGAAAACCAGTTTAAATACAATGCACAGCTGTTGGCTTTTTGGTTTGGGGACGTTGTCTAAATAGTCTTACTGAAATATAGTTGAAATGGTTAGTCTTCCACCACACCAAGGGTGGTGGGGTGCATTCCTAAACTATTTGGGCCCAACCTATCTCCATGATCTCTTCTCCCCCCATGAACTGACGTGGACTCTTAGATCTACCGGGAAGGCCCTCCTCTCGCTCCCACTACCATCCCAAGCATGGTTGGTGGAGACGAGGGAGAGGGCCTTCTCAGTGGTGGCCCCCCACCTTTGGAACACCCTCCCCAGCAAGATAAGAGAGACCCCATCTCTATCCTACTTCCGCAGGGACCTGGTTCCAGTAGGCCTTTGAAAGTGAATAGCTGTAGGCCCTGCCCTAGCCATCAGCTAGGACACTGCTCTGTACTTTACCCACTTCCCTGGTCCTATGCTACCCTGTGGTACTAGCCCTGGTCCAGCCCCCCTATAGCTGTCCAGCGGGCCTTGGAAATGAGTAGCCCCAGGCCCTACCCTGCTCTGCACTTTTCCCACTCCCCTAGTTCTATGTTACTTCATTGCACTAGCCCTGGCCCAGCCCTCTCATAGTGTCTAGGCCCACTCTGAAATTCTGTCCATTGGTAGTACAAAGTTTGCCCAATGGAATGGTATTGGAACTGCTTTTTAAATTGTATATTATTCTTCTAATAGGATTATGTTTATGTTTTAAAATGGTTATTTTATATGTTTTTGTTGGGAACTGAATGTTTTGCTTGCTGGAAACTGCCCTGAGTCCCCTCGGGGAGATAGAACTGTATACAAATTATTATTATTATTATTATTATTATTATTATTATTATTATTATTATTAAGAAATTTTACTTTGCTCCTCGGAAAACAGTATTTTTATTATGTGTGTAATGCAGCTGTGAGAGTGTAGTATTCTACAATAAAATATCACTATTGGTTGATGCAAAAACATTAGAAGAATGGATACTGGATGCCATTTCTCTTTCAGTGACTTTAAGTAATATGATTGAGATGGAACCAAAAGAAAAAGAAAAAAAGACAAAAGAAAAGGTTGTATGTATGTGACTCCTTTTAAATTTCCAGCGTAAGGTCTCTTTAAATATTGGCAATATTGTTATTTATTATAACTTCTGACATCTGAAAACTTTGGAAGCAAAACTACTGTCCCTGGGAAAGAATTTAAAGCAAAGGGACTTTGCACCAGCATCTCATCTGCTGCTTAAGCCATGCACAAGCAAACAAAAACATCTGAATTACTCCAAACACTGAGCTGAATTTATAACATGTTTTCTGTCCACGCTGTTCACATGAGGTGTTTTGACTTCTGCATGCTGGCAGTCACTGAATCCAGAAGGTGTTTATCATCTTTATCTAAAAAGGAAAAACAATTAAAAATATTAACACATGCTACATGGAAACTCACTGAATGACCTTAGGTGAATCACATACTCTCAGCCTCAGAAACTCTTGCGCGAGATTCATCTTAGGGTTGCTATAAGTCAGAAATGACTTGAAGGCACCAAAAAACAACACTTGGCTAAGCTTTTAGAAAATTACCCGGTCAAGATCTAAGGGCAGGCATGCAGCAATTGAAGAAGCACCATCTGATGGGAATATCTTTTCTATTATAAAAGAGCTTCAGACATAACCAAGTGACCAATGCAATTAAGGCATTAGTTCTTTGTTGCTGTTCTCCATCATTTTTTGGGGGTGGGGGGTGGGGGGTGTTGGTTTGTGAAATGGGCCTGATAAGACAAGGGCAAACTATTTCCCTGGTGACAAACTTGCTGGTTCAGTTTGGATTATTACAGCACAAAGATGTAAAGCTGCTATAAAGCAGGTTCAGAATAAGCAAATATTTTAAAAGGTCTAGAAACCACAGGTGTCCAACTGTGGAAGGAGTAAGGTCCATTCCCCTTTTATGCTCCCTCAATGGTCCAAACCAGGCATGGGCAAACTTTGGTCCTCCAGGTGTTTTGGACCATAATTCCCACAATTCCTAACAGCCTACTGGCTGAAGTACCTGAAGGGCCAAAGTTTGCCCACGCCTGGTTCACACCATTCAATTCTAGCACACTGAAAGTGACATTGCATCACATTTGCCTTTTGGCCCAATCTGCAGACTTTTGCCAGGTTTTATTGGGGGGGAGGGGGCAGTGTTGCTGCATTTTTTGGCAGGTTTGGGGTGCATTGGCCAGTTCAGGAGCAAAACGTTGCCTGGAAAGTAGTGTGATTTTTTAAAGGAAGTGATTTGGGACATTTTCAGGGGCCACATTTTTGTATCCCAATGACCACATGGCTCATGGGTTGCACTTTGCTCAGCCCTATTCTGAAGTCCCCTTTTGGCTATAACCTTCAAAACAGAGGCTGAACTTCTACTGGATGTTGGTGGAGAATCACCTTCCACCAATGCACTTCTGCCTGGCGCATGGGTTCTGAGGGGCACATCCTTACAATCAATCAGTATCTGGGGTAAAGAGGATTCCTGGTTATGAACCAGATGGAAAAAAGGAAATGCATCCAGACTTTGTCACAGATATCTTCTGGAAGCTCCAGTCTCCAGTAATTGGAGGGCCCTCTGGTGTTAGTGAGCTGTAGTTGTATGTGTGTGTGTATTATTGCACAAAAGTATGATCATAAAGTACAATGGAAGGTGAGGCCAGCATATGTTGCCAACAGAATTCTGGCCAGATACTCCCACATTTCAACACAAGTGATGTTATTATATGTATGTTTGTCAGAAACTTCTTATTACGTAGTGACTCACCATCCAATTGTGTAATAATCTATTAAGGCTGAGGTTGTAAACATCCACTTAAGCCTACAGTCCTGACAGTAAGACCCACCTAATTTAATGAGGTTTACTTTTGAAAATAGATTTATTTATCTTTCTCCTAATGTGGGATCCAAAGTAAAGAACTGCACAGCAAATCACACCTAGAATGCTGCTATATTAATACAGTCACTGTGATTTATGGTACTTTGCATAGCAAGCTTGTCACCGGGTAAATGGAATATTTGAAGGTACTGTTTGAAAAAAAAGATATTCCAACATATTCTATTGGTTGCTGAAATGCAATGGGTCAGAAGCAGGCAGGTTGAGTCAATGCTCTTACTTTCTAGGAGGCAAATGAGTGGGAGGAAGCCCTAAATTTGCTGCCTCTTACCTTTCCTGGGACTTCCCCATCAGGACAACTGGGTTGGCATTTGTGTTTTTGAGATTATTCTGTGCCCCCTTCAACAATGACCTGCCCCAGTGTAATTGTTCTTTTTAGTCATTGGAAATTAGGGACGAGGTGAATGTTAAGGGGCACCTGATGGCATCAGAATGCCATTCTGAAGCCTGGAATGGACATCATCTCTGCAGAACTCCATCAAGAACACCTCACACCCTCTTTTGGCCACTACTTGGCCAAAAGAGTGCACTTTGGTATTGAAAAGATCAGCTCCATTTGGGCTGAATGGATAAAGGGATGCTGCAAGAACGTAATGTTATTCTAGCATAAAGAAGGATCACAACTCCCACCCTTCGTTGAGATCCTTCTTCAGACTCTAAGTCCTCTAAAAATGTTAAATAACACTGAGTTAAATTAGCTGTGTCCTCATTCATGGCTTCAGCTCTGGTGTGCATTGTCCTTTTCAGAAATATCTGGCATGGGGTGCTGAGATAGTTCAGGATCAAGTACTGGAGAAAGGGACAATAATCCTTTGCTCCTGCCACAGTCCCAATCCAGTTCAAAACACAGAAAGTGGGAGAGAGACTTAGAGACATACGCAGACACTATCTGACAATCAATAAACTGTTCCCTTTGGAGTCATCCTTGGAACTTGTTATGAGAAGGCATTGCAACTTTTTTTATTAAGAACATCACAGTAAAAAAAACATCAACCACCCAACTAATTGGTCCAAACCCATTGAGTCTCAACATTCTTGGCTCAAAGGACTTACAAAATGCATTGTGCAATTTTACTGTCTTTACAATGGTAATAAAAAGTTACAAAACAGAAATAGGAAAACACTTGAAGATCGTACATGGAAGCTGAACTTCCCTGAAAACTCTACAAAGTTCTGAAAAAGTGATAGGATGGTTTCAGAAAGAAAGCTGTATCTGGAAGCCTCCTGTGTCCTTTATTCAGCTCTAGGGGTGCTGTGCTGTTTCTACTGTGGCTTGCATGGAGCCTGCCAGGACACCCAGTGAGGCCCTCCAGATCCACTGAAGCCCTTCATTGCTGAAAAAAATTCCCCCATTTGGAGAATTATATCCTGCAAAGCCTCCAGAAGCCAAAATTCTCTGTTTTAAAGGTTCGAACACTGAACAATGCTTGCTTGGGCTGCTGTGAGTTGCAGTTCAACAACATCTCAAGGTTGCACAATTCCAAACCTGATGTAACTGCAATTCTTTCTCCCTATAAGTAAAGACTTGTCTTCTACAAGTTCCTTTGCACCAAAAGAAGAAAGTACCAGCTTCATTAAAGTTAGTTCCAATCATGCAAATTTTGTTTGATTTCTCATTGTCAACATGAATGAATGTTACACCCTCAGCACAGTTGTGCTAATGAACAAGCATAGGCAACATTGGTTTTAGTCAAGGGAGGAACTCAACTTACCATATACGGTCAATGTGCAGCTACATTTTTCATTTCCAAGCTCATTCTCAATTAATATGGAGTACTCGCCACTGTCCTTGATGGTGCAAGTGGGGATCATCAGTGTGCAGACTCCGCTGCTCGAATTGTACCAGAATTTAGAATTAGCTGTAATGTTAACATTTCCTTTGTACAATGTAACCACAGGGCGGGGGTTGCCCAAGAATGCACAGCTCATGGTACAGTCAAGGCCCCGGCGTACTGCATGGTTCTTCAAAGGGGTGATGAAATGGGGGGCATGGCGCCAGTCTCGTTCATGATATTCCCTTATATTGGCATTGAAACGTTCTGTTGACAAAATGTGGTGATTAATTCTAATTTCAAAATATGTTTAGACCAATTGCTTATCCAGAGCGTGTCAAAGCTTAAACATTGGACTTAGACCTGTCCCAGTTGTAAACCTCCATTGAGCCATACCATTCACTGGGCTAATTACTCTCTCAAACTCACATACTTCACAAGCTTGTTATGAGCTATACCTGGAGTACGACAGTTTTGTACATGCTTTGAACTTACCGTAGAAATGTAAGTCATCTGTTCATTCATTTGACAATGAGTCCACGGCATTTGAGTGTTGAGAAGAGCAAACCACAGACCACTTACTACAATGCTGTCTGGGATTTGACACATGTACAATGGAGGGCCTCCTTACAGTGACACCAGAGGGACTTGAAGTGGCCAGCTTCTGGCCAAAATAAATATAGTATAATAGCAAGTTTTAAAATTTGTTTTGGTTTTTTATACATTATAACTGTATTCTCAATTGCCTTCTGGCACATTAAATAAATAAATACTCTATACTCATCTTTCTATGCTGATGTATACATCAATTCAATCCTTGAGTGTCTGGCATAGCTCTAGTTTTATTATCTGGGATTATAAAGTTTATTTGCAAATGCTCTTACCCTCATTGAGGAAGAGAGTTCTGATATATTAAGAAAACCCATTGGGAAAAAGACTTTTGCTTCAAGATCTTTTGCCTCTGTATGATAAGGACAGAAGGAAGCAGAGCTTGGAAACATTATTCCAGATTATGAGCTTTAAAAATTTCATTGCTTTCAGCTCCGTTTAAAATTAACTGTCCACTTTTATTGTGAAAAGGCCATGGAAAATTGAAAACTGAATCCACACCTACCAAGAGTCCAGAAAGCCCTGTCTTAGTCAATGTAGGATCTGGGTGGCTGTATGGCCATGTTCTAGAAGCATTCTCTCCTGACCTTTCGCCTGCATCTATGGCAAGCATCCTTACCTTTGTCTTTGTTGATATGCCAGGAATCCTTTGAATCTAGAGGATCACTATCACCAACATCGTTCCTGGCAATGACTCGGAAGAAATATTTCCTGCCAGGAAGAAGGCCTGTGACTGTGTATTTGTTGCTGTAGACTTTCTCTGCTGCTGTGAACCAAGTAGCAGTGCTAGTGTCGCGTTTCAGGATGACATAATGGGCACCACTGTCCTCCTTCACATCTGGAGAGTGATCCCATTTTAGTGTTACGGTATTTGGCACCTCCTCAAACACGTTTAGGTTGGCAGGTGGCCTTGGGAAATCTATGGCAGAAATATGGAGTGTTAGTCAAGATTATATCTGTCTCTAGTTTCAGCTACACTCTAGAATTAATGCAGTTTGACACCACTTTAACTACCCTGGCTCAATGCTATGGAATCATGGGAGCTGTAGTTCTGTAAAATCTTTAGCTTTTTCTGACAAAGAGTGCTGATGCCTTGCCAAACTCCCGCGATTCCATAGCACTGAGCCATGGCAGTTGGTGTCAAACTGCATTAATTCTACAGTCCAGATGCCACTTTGGTGTCTCTTTCCCTTGGATTTTTCTGTGGGTATCTATTCTTTATTTTGGAAGCAGTCTGTCTCATTAGATGAACAGATGGGTCTGTACTGTCCATGCATTATTCTTCCCACAAGAAAAGTTACACAGTCCACATAATTAGATCTTTCAATCTACTTTGGGCTTTGGATCAATTTATGAAAACATTGGATTGACCATTATTAGATTCTGGCATTCACACCACCTCTACATGTAGTAGTCTCCATGGCTCATTAGCAGAAATGCTGCCCTTAGTATTTGCTACACAATGTCATAAAAACAACAAGAGAGCAAAGCAATAGCTAGAGGCAGAGAATACTCATTAATGCAAACACCCGGCTCACCAATCAACTGTTGGATTATTTTCTTTCATTAGCACATAACAATGATTTGGCCAGGAACATTTAGATTTCCTGTGACCTAAAAAATGTACTAGCTGCATGCTTCTCCTATTCTACAATTGTACTCCTGTTATTATTTCTAATAAGTGCATATCATTTAAAGAAGCATTTTTCCTTATATTTAGTTACATGACTAAATAATGACTTTATGCAGATTTAGTCAATAAGGTAATACATTAATTATTGATTAAACCCGCAATTAAGATAACATTTTATTGATCAATCCGTTGTTTGAAGACTTGGGATAAGTTTGTATTTAAACCCTGGAAATATTTTGCATAGAGCTCTGCTTTGCAACATAGAAAATTATACATGGGAAAGGAGTTCTGCTGTATATCCAAGTGTTTTGAACCCTTGGAATAAGAGCTTTTCTGTATGAATTATTCCCAATTTGAAATTTCATTGTCAACTGAGAAGTTCAGCAAACATTCTCCCAAATAAACAGAGTCATGCTGGAATGAGGAAAGCCACCCTGATGCTATCTTTTATTCATAAAGCAAAATATATTAATAACAACAGCAACAACAACAACAGCAACAACAACATCATAACAGCAGAGCCATTTCAGAAGACGAGAAGCATTTGATGCACCATGTTTTAGTGATGACATATGTTCAGGCTATTGGCTTAATCCCATATCCAATATGAGCCCATCTAGTTCCTGAAAACCCAGTCCCATCACTCTTACAGGCAGAAAATTGGTAAGGACATTGATAGGATCTGAAACTTCCTCCTTAGGGAAGTTAGAACGGACACTTCTTATTACCTTTCTGTCAAGAGCAAGCTGGATTGTTTTACACTGTACTGTTTTAAAATGGAACTTTATTCTTTTTAAAATGCATGTTTTTAAATGGATTAACAGTGTCAACAGTTTAATTCTATTTTAATGTTGACTTTGTGTATATTTTTAATTATATGTATAATCATTTTAATTTGTAGATTAAACTGTTGTATGTCTTTTAATTTTTGCTTTCATGATGTTACATCCTGCCTTGAGTTGCAGGGAGAGGCAGTTAATAAATTCATATAATAATAATAATAATAATAATAATAATAATAATAATAATATAATAGATCCAGTTTGAGGGGGGGGGGAGCAGGATATAAAAGAAGATGACAAAATGACAATAATGCCGTAGGAAACTTAAATGCTCCTGATCAAATCACCATTATGTGCTAATAAAAAGGAAATAAATTGTGTATTTTCTTTAATGGAGATTTTCTATCTCTTACAACTGCCTTGTGCTTAAACAGTTTTTATGACACCATAACAAATACTGTAGGAGGCATATTTACTAATGAGTCATGGAGATTGTTATAAAAGAGAAATGCACATCACAACCTGATAATGAGTGGAATTGGTCAATGCTTCCTTCTGAACAGACAGAAGCAGTGGTGTACAATATTGATCTCACCTGTCCCTCCCACACCCTCTTGTACCTGTTACACATTCTTGTACCTGTTACTCGCACATGGATGTCGTAGCGGGCTTCGCCATAGTCATTGCTGAGCACAATACGGTAGAGTCCAGAATCCATGCGTTTGGTGCTGTGAATGAGGAACTGAGAGTGATTCTTGCCTTTAGTGATGCTCTCCCTTCCCCTTGTGGGAACGCCATCCTTTTGCCAGACCACATTTGGGGGAGGTGACCCCTGCCAGAATCAAAATGATGCAAAAAGTGTAAGCTCTCCCACTTGTTTTTCACCCAGTTCTTTTCACCTCACTCTTCTTCACCTGCTCTTTGACATATTCAGTAATCACACTTAACACAGCAGGTGGGGGGGGGGGCAAATAAAAAGAAACAAGAAATGTACAGGAGAAAGCATGGCTGCTGCTTCCACTTAAGATTAGGGGGCCATATTGTAGCACTCCAAATGTTGTTGGACTGCAGCCCCCCAGTGGTGAGAAATTATGGTATTTGCAGTTCGACAGCATCTGGAATTTCTACCAAAGGTGTGTGTGAACTACACATTGAAATTTATCCTTTTCTTCTTAGGGTACTTTCCACCTTCTAAGTATTCTACCAAAACACAAATTTGGGGGTTCAATAGAAGGTAGTTGTGATAATCAAAGTGATATGCTATAACAGATCTGCACCTGTAGATAGACATTTTGAGGTAGGGGTGGGGAATTACTGTGAGTTCAATTGCCCACCTTCCAGAGATGGCAGACACAAGAAAGTCCATCTTCAGCAAAAGTAAACATTCATTAATGGGAGGAAGAGATTCAAATGATTTGTGCACAAACTGCATAGGAACAGAGGCAATGACCAAGGTAGAGATGACTGAGCAACAAAAGAATAAAAGTGTGCTAAACTCTTGAGAAATTTCTTAACTACAGGAGTTGAAAAAAGTAGTTAAATTTAGAGCTACTGGCTGGTGGGCCATTATAACAGCCAGATAGGTGGGAGGGAGAAGGGTTCCCACCAAGCTACTCAGTCCTAGAATAGCTTCCAGTCCGTGAACTTCCTTCCTCTTTATTTTATTTATTCCCACTTGTTTCCACAGAGCTAACCAGCCCCACCCCTTTTGGTACTAATGTTGGAGAGTGGTCCCTGGTCAAAATGGGTCCTGGTCAAAGTGGTCCCTGGTCAAGTAGTCCCTGTTCAAGTGATCCTCGGTCAAGTAGTCCCTGTTCAAGTGGCCCCTGGTCAAGCAAGCCCTGGTCAAAGTGGGTCCTGGTCAAAAAAGGGTTGGGAACCACTGTCTTAAAGTGTCAGGGAGAATGTCCCTTGTTGCCTCTGCCAACCATAAAATTTGACAGAAGGAAGACCTCCAGAACCCCTGCAGTAAAATAGCCAGGAAAATTAAGGGAAGGGTTTTGAGTCTTTTGTTAAATTATTATTTCTAGTCCGACAATCCTGCAGGCATCAGACAACAGAACTATGCTCACAGAGGCAGCATGAATCCTGCCTAACTTCATTCAGGTAAAATTTGACAATCTGTATGAATCCCCTGCAAGCAACCCACAAAGAACAGCACTGCTGGATCCCCTTTCACAAAGCTTTGTAGCATGGATTTTAGTAGAGAGGAGGAGATTACAGGGTTGCTAAAGCCCTGATTAGTTTGGCATCCCAAACCAGCATTATTCTGTATTACTGTGATTACTTTAATAGCAAATCACCCCTGTTTGAAATGCTGCCTCTGCACTGGCAATTATTTCTTGTCTGGGTGGGTCACATGTAAAGCCAGACTAGACGATGCATTGATTTTCTGGTTGTTTCATGAATCTGGGATGTTGGTGTGTGTCTGAGTAACAGTCACAGTAGAGGAACAATTGGGATCTGGATCACAATGCATGGAGCAGGGGTCTTTTTTTCCTTTGGTGATCCTAAAGGATCAAGACATGGAAAAAAAACCCTGAGCGGTGTATTCCCAACTTGCACCCCAAGATCTTCACCAACTCAAGCTCTTATTCATCAGTTTTATTGTACTAGCCACTGGTCTTGACAATGAAAAAGAACAATACACCCATTATAAAACCCCATTATTAAATGTACCTTGCAGTAATTTTCTCTCTCAGCAGTTCTGACTAGAAATGTTCTATTACATAAAATCTGCTATCTTTTACATCGAGGATTCACTTACATTAGCTACCTTAATCCTATTTTGTTCACCCAATCTTTCATTGTAAAGTAATTCTATAATCCACAAAAGGGTAAGTCTTTCTGGTTTTAAATAAATCTAATCAGAACAAGCAGCTATTTTATGTTATATGGACTTTGGGAGGGTGACTCAGAGCTGTACGATATATCACAGATATGCCACCATACCATTCAACCAAAAGAGATCTGACCTGATTTTGGAACCTAAGCAAGGATAGGCCTAGCTAGTATCTGCGTAGGAGATTACCAGGAAACTTCAGATTATACTGTTACCAAGACTTACTTACAAAGCAAAATGATGAAACACAGTTTGAGTGATGAAGACACAACTAACCATAATGTGTGAAGGGATGACTTACAGTAAAGCTGGCATGGATACAGAGGGCTGTCCCAGCCCGAACCACCATGTGGTTCTTCAGCCTGGCACTCAGGTCGAACTTCGGAGCAGCTAGAAGGCACACCAAAGTATCATAATAAAGAGAGACAGAAATAATTAGAGCCATTTTGGGGGAAGGCTGTCATTTGTTCTTCAGGTACCTCTTGTGCGTTTTCAAAGGCTGAGTTTTTCAATTCATTCTGGAAATGCCTTGTAGTAGCATTTAGAGGTGACTCAGGAGACACTTTCTCTCTATTTTAATTCCAGACACCTACAGGTTCTGGATTCAAAAGGGAAAATTGACAAGGAGGAGGAAGACAAGTATTTTTGGGAGACATTTTTCCAAGGGAAATTATGCTTTTGTTCTCTGCTTTCCCACCTCCACAGAAAAGAATATCTGGCCTTTGTTAGAATATGGTGGTTTAAATGTAGTGAAATATTGTTAGTAGTTTAAACTATGTGTGGTGTACCAATGCAATGTAAGAGTTAAATGCATAGAGCTGTGCTTGATTCCTAGAGTGTAACTTTGGAGTGTTCTGGTACTGCGTTTACATTCCACAGAAATCAGATTACCATGTGGTTTGAGCTTACAGCAATGTACAGCTAGTGAACGGACATGTTTTATTCTGCTCCTGTAAATAGTTCGTAGTTTTTAGTATTTGCAATAAAAGATAAGAGCTGTTCTGGGCTTTGGAGCTGACTGAGGTAGTATGCTTCATTATTTGCTTTTGTGCCTTTCAGCGGATGCTCAGAGATCAATAAATCAACAGTCTTTGTATCTTTTCATTTATGGAAGCAAAAAAGCAGATGAGAAGGGAGAGTATTTTAAACAACAAATGGCACATGGGAAAGGCTGAGTCCATGCACCTTTTGGCTTCGGGGCTTGGAAAGTTTACTTTATAGGACTACAGATCCTAGAAATAAACATAGCCATCTTTTCCAAGCTCTGCTTCCCTCTTGCACCATTGCTTCAACCAAATCCACAATCCCACATAGAGAAAATGATCTTTTAAAATGCTGGTAGATAATGTCCACATTGGTTCTAAGTGTTTATCCATTGATCCATGGAAATCAAGATAAACTATGGGAGGTCCAAGGTGATCCTCTGTCTTGGTATGGAATGGTGCAAACATAGCACCAACAAGAATGCTATGTTCCCATATTGGAAATCCTGTGGCATTTGAGATCCTGTTGGACTGTGAAGAGACACAGTTATTGGACAATAGTATCTATGCATATTGGACCCTCAAGAGATACCTGGAGGAGGCATGGCCAGGACTCCGTCCTTCAATTCAATTGGTTCTCCCACTCCTGCCTCATTCACGGCACGGATCCGGAAGAAATACTTTTGCCTCTCCTGCAGTCCTCCCACCGTGTAATTGGTACCAGTAATTGGGATCTTGGTGCATTTAGACCATTCCTTGGTGTCTTCAGCCCGCATCTCCAGTATGTAGCCTGAAGGTGCATCACCTTCGTCTGGCTGCTGCCATGCCAAGGAAATGCTGGAGTTGGAAGAATCAGCTACGTGCAAACCCTTCACCAGTCCAGGAGGTTCTGGAAAACATCCACAATACGTATTTATTTCTGTATTGTTTTATTAAAATATGTGTATTCTGCTCTGCATCTAAAGATCTCAGGGCAGCTTATGATGAAGGCAATTTAAAGCAATAAATAAATGCAAAAGGTTAGAAAGGCTAAATTATATATTAAATATTATCTAAATTATAAACAGACATTTAAAACCTGCTAAATCAATTTTGACTAGTATACCTGTAAAACATGTGAAGCCTGGATAAAATCAGTTTGACTCAAAGGCTTTAATAAAAGACCTATAAAACACAAGTGTATATTATCAGATAGAACATATTTGCATTGAACTGATGAGCTGAACTCATTCAGGTCAATGCTGATATGATCAGAGATACTATTGTGCCCCGGTGTTTTTTATGCAGAAAAGTGTTATACAACCTGAAAGACATCTCTGGTCAGGCCCGTAGCCAGGATTTTGATTTGTAGGGGGGGGGGGGTGAGTTTGATTCGGGGGGGGGGGGGCTGAGTCTGAGCGAAAGAGGGTCTACCCTAGCAAACCTTTTGTATCGTTACCCCAATACCCCATGCATATGGGATATATTGAGTATGGTGATCAGATCATGATATGAATAAACATAACAGTTTAAATAATGCACCAGTAAGGCCTTCTTGCGGACCCATGAGAATTGGGGGGGGGTGGTGCCCCCAAGCCCCCCCCCCTCGGCTACATGTCTGTCTCTGGTTGTAACATTTGCAGCTGGACTGATGCATATCTGCACATACATTTCTACTACACTGCTCACTGTGGCTGACTTCTAACTGTAGCTTCAAGAGTGATTCAAATATTGTTTGCTAACCAAATACGAAGAAGAGGAATTTCATATGTGTATGAGACAAACCATTAAAAGTACTTCCATACATTTTCATGTTTCCCTGAATCAGAACTTGGAATAGTAATCTGTTTGGATCATAATTCTCAGAATCCCCAATCCAAAATTGTGGAACCTATATATCCCCCAAAATATATATTTTCCAAAATTTACCCCAAATTCTTCAAGGATTTGCAAGCCATCTACAACATTTGGAAAGACACAATAGAACCTAAGCACTCCCATAAAGTGAGTCCACTTTGGTTTAAACCAAGAACAGTCAATCTTCTGCACTTGCTGGAGAGTTCAGGTAATAGGCATTAAGGACAATTTGCCATTCTGTTGACTCCAGCCACTTTCACACAGCTGTATAAAATCCACATTGAACTGGATTATTTGGCAGTGTGGACTCAGATATTCCAGTTCAAAGCAGATATATGGATTATCTGTCTTGATATTCTGGATTATATGGCTATGTGGGAAGGCCCTCCCTTGCTAGGAGCTAGGCTTTCTGACAGTCTCTATGTGCAGAGGGTGCCCATTCTGTTCGCAACCTAAGCCAAGACTGAGGAATGTAATCCCCTCCAGATATTGCTGAACTGCAACATGAGCATAGACTATGATGAAGGATGATGGAAATTGCAGTCCAGTAATACCTGGAGGGCCATGTTTTCATCAGTCTTGACCTAGGCCTGAGAACATAGCAAACCTGAATTGATTGGAAGATGGGGGATCTCCACTGATGACCAGGGAAGGGTGGTCCAGAAAGGCCTACTTGAGAACCCCTATCGGATGCTGGCTGGGCATTTATCCCTTTCTGCCTTGTTTATGGTACCTTGATAGGCTCTTCCCTCTCATTTCAGCAACCTCAACCTCATCAGTGGTTCTCAACCTTCCTAATGCCGCAACCCCTTTAATACAGTTCCTTATGTTGTGATGACTCCCAACCATAAATTTTTTTTTGTTTCTACTTCACAACTGTAATTGTGCTACTGTTATGAACTGTAATGTAAATATCTGATATGCAGGATGCATATTCATTCAATGGACCAAATTAGGCACAAATACCCAATATGCCCAAATTTGAATAATGGTGGAGTTGGGGGGGGGGGGGGGGGGGGGTTGGGTTGATATTACCGTTTGGGAGTTATAGTTTCTGGGATTTATAGTTAACATACAATCAAAGAGCATTCTGAACTCCACTAATGATGGAATTGAACCAAACTTTGAACAAAGAACTCCCACGACCAACAGACAATACTGGAAGTTTTGAAGTTGTAGTTCATTTACATCCAGAGAGCACTGTAGACTCAAACAATGAGGGATCTGGACCAAACTTGGCATGCATACTCAATATGCCCAAATGTGAACACTAGTGGAGTTTGGGGAAAACAGACCTTGACATTTGGGAGTTGTAGTTTCTGGGATTTATAGTTTGCCTACAGTCAAACAGCATTCTGAACCCCACCAATGATACCATTGGGCCAAACTTCCCACACAGAACCCCCATGACCAACAGAAAATACTCTGTTTTCTGATGGTCTTTGGAGACCCCTCTGACACCCCCCTCACGACCCCCTCCCATGGATCCTGACCCCCAAGTTGAGAAACACTGTTCTAGATTCTAACTCTAGCGGGAATTTTCCTTTTGGCTACTTTGGCATCTCACCAGGTTCAAGCCTGCTAGCTCCTATGCTAACAAACATAGTGAGATACTGATAAAGATGTCATGATGTAACAGGATTCAAGCACACCCAAAGAACCTGAACTCTGAGGGATACAACATGGAGAATATATCTTTTCCACAACCTATGAAGTGTTCTTTCATTATTGATACCAAATGAGTGGCCAATCTCAAAACCACACTTTGGTAGGTCTTCCAAAGTCCAAAGGTACATCCATTTTGTAGAATGAATGCAGTTTGACGCCACTTTAACTGCCATGGCTCAGTGCTATGGAACCATAGACACCGTAGTTTTACAAGGTCTTTAGCCTTCTGTGCCAAATAATGCTGGTGTTGCAACAAACTACATTTCCCATGATTCCATGACAAACTAGTGTCAAACTACATTTATTCCACAGTGTAGAAGCACCCAAAGTAAAAATGTTTTGGGCAGCACTTTTTCTACAAGGTCTGGCTGTCAGTGTAACCTGCTGTGATGTGTGCCTTTCTGAGTACATTGTGAATAAGAGATTATGGGATCAGGACATGATATGCACTAGGAGTCAGTTAAGAGGAGACACATACTGATGGGATCTCTTGCCACAACCGAGTTGGAAGCACTGCTTGGAAGTCCAGGACCTGCTCGGTTCACAGGAATGACACGGAACTCATATTCTGTATCTTCCAATAAGCCATCCACTTTGCATTTAGTACCTAAACACACAGAGATGATTAAAAACTACACAAAATTCAAAATGAACCAATGGGGATGTTTCCCGACATAGAAAGATGATGAAACAGCAATAATCTTCCTATTCAAGGCGCTTCAAAACAAATTGTGGACGATTGTGGTGTTTTGTTGCCCCCTTGTGGTCAAAAATGCAGTTGCACTGCGACAGAAATCTGTTTTACGATTGCATTGATTTCATAGAATCATAGAGTTGGAAGAGATCTCATGGGCCATCCAGTCCAACCCCCTCCCAAGAAGCAGGAAAATCACCTTCAAAGCACCCTTGACAGATGGCCATTCAGCCTCTGTTTAAAAGCCTCCAAAGAAGGAGCTTCCACCACACTCGGGGGCAGAGAGTTTCCCTGCAGCCTGACATGGGAGGAGACGTGAAGCAATTATGCACAAATGGCCACAGTCCAGAAAAGTACTGGGCAAAATAATCAATACAATTGTACAATCTTATTGGATTTAATTAAATAATTAAACCATTCTAATATTTCTATGAGACAGTGTGGCGTAGTAGGTTTGAGTGCTGGGACTATGACTCTGGTTTGAATTCATGCTTAACCATGGAAACCCATAGGGTGACCTTAGACCAGTCACACTCTCTCAGCCTCAGAAGAAGGCAAAAACAAAGCTCTTCTGAACAAAGAAAATTCCATGGGTTGTCAGAAGTCAGAAATGATTTTAAGGTACACAACAACAACAACAACAACATTTCTATGGAGCAGTTCAGCTACAAGGAGCCTTTTTGTTCATATATAATATGCCTTCCACATTCACTGGGGTTAGGGGCACAGGCCTCCCACAAAAGTGAAAAACCACAAATAAAACATTTCTTTTTTTTTACTTCTGAGAAAACCTCTCTAGGAATCTCTTGGTTCTCCAGCAGGACTCTATGGTGAACTTCTGTTGGAAGTTGACCATACAATCACACTAGGATCTAGTGTGATTGTAATAGAGGTGTTTTCCCTGGGAATCTCTAGTGCAATTCTGTGGTCAAATTCCAGCAGGAGTTTGCCAGAAGTTACACGGAAAGAGATAGATTCCTAGAGATAACATCTTAATTAATCCATGAATATTCAAATGTGGAGGGCTGACTGTATAATCAAGACTGAGGACATTTTGCAGAAGAGGAAGCAGAAGAAAAGGAAGAGGAGGAGGTGGCAGCGAAAGCAGCAGCAAGTGACTGGACTGATGTTTGGTGATGAAAGAAGATATGGGGCCCATCTTGCAGGGCTCAGGAGCACGACACACTGCTTCTTGCCCCACATCATGTTCCCAGCATATTGTTTGAGGCAGCCATTTGGCTCTGCCTAGTGGGAGGGATATAACCCACTGACCTTGTACTAATTCTTTGGATACTGGGACCCAAAGGTTGCTGCCTTTCTTCCTTCTTTCGACAATATACCCCATTATTGGGGAACCACCATCTTTAGCTGGAGGATTCCAGGTAATGGTAACAGCTTCTTTGCTCACATCAGTCACTTGAGGTTGAGAAGCCTGTCCTGGAGGATCTGTAATGAGTTTCAGTACAGGTAAATTAGAACAAACACAGAAGTGGTTTTCCTTTATTTCTCTGTTGTTTATCTATAAATGGATACACACAATGGATGGAAGGAATATTACTAATTATATATTCCCAAGTTGAAAAATGGGTTTCTTGACAATTAGGAAACACTATCAAGAATAATACCATAGAAGAATGAGAATTTGTCTGGTATTCAAACTTCCTGAAGTTTTGTGGAAGGATTGTTTTGAGAAGAAAAATGCAGGCCATTATAACACATAACAGTTATCATTGCAATACATAATTTCTAAAGATATATGTACCTCCATACCTCCAAAGACTTAACAATTACATTTTTGTGGTTTTATATCACAGGAAATTCTAGAAATCTCAGCAGATTGTAACCTAACAGCTTTATCCTCTGTTCAAGAGGTTCCAATATTCACTCTCTCTCCCCCTCCCTTCCTTTAGTTTCCAGATGTAATGATCTAAGTAGCTCAAGAGGCATGGTGATTAAAGTTAAATTAGCTCAGGGCCAAAGATGAGTTGAACAGCATGCTACAAATCTTTGTGCTTCACTTCTTTCATTAAACACATCCCAGGTAAACCTTTCTTTCTGAGAGTGATTAGATTGACTGCCACATTAAAATCTGTCTCCCTTAGAGAACTGTTAAGTAATTCTCCTTTGTATTATCTCATATCATCCCAAAAAAGGGCTAATGGAGTTGTCCATTTCAAACAAGTTCAAGCCACGTGGCAACCTCATCTAACATGCTCGGGTGCTTACCAATAGGATCTCCGGCAAAGACTTCTTCTGTCTCTAGTGGCTCGCTTGCACCCTCAGAGTTCACAGCCAGGATTCGGAATTGATAAGCTTTCCCTTCTTCTACCTTATCTGTGGCAAATGTGGTCTGCTTGCTGTCAACTTCTCCAACTTTGATCCAGGACCTCTTCCCAACCACCTTCCGCTCAATAATGAAGTGGGTCACCTGCTTGCCACCGTTGTCTTTGGGTGCTTTCCATTTCATTTTGATACACTTCCCTGTCTTTTCCAAGAATTCTACTTTCCCTTGTGGTGGCTTTGGTTTGTCTAAAAAAGGAGAAGATGAATAAGAAGATGGAAATAGCCACAACAAGATCTTCAGCATCTCATATGCATCACAAACTAATCTTCACCAACCTCATGCCTTTCAGGTGCTTCAGACTACAACTCTCAATATTCCTGAACAAGAATGTGCTGGTTGAAGCTGTTGGCAGTCCAAAATATCTGAAGGGTATTTTTTTTATTTAATTTATAACCTGCCTTTCTCCTTGTATTGATTAAAGGCAGTTTACAACAATTGTATAACTGTATTGTCAAAGGCTTTCATGGCTGGAACCACTGGGTTGTTGTAGGTCTTTTGGGCTGTATGGCCATGTTCCAGAAGCATTCTTTCCTGATGTTTCACCTGCATCTATGGCAGGCACCCTCAGAGGTTGTGAGGACCTTACAGCCTCTGAGAATGCCTGCCATAGATGCAGGCAAAATGTCAGGAGGGAATGCTTTTAGAACATGGCCATATAGACCAAGAAACCTACAACAACCCATTGTATAACTGGTTAGAAAAGGCTGCTGTCTCAACACACAACAGGAACACACATATACAAAATTCACAACTGGGCAGTAGTATAACTTTTAGCAAGAATCAGTATAATGAAATGTTGAAGTTAATCATAACTATGCAGTGCTAGGATGCTGATCTTTGTCTCTGAGCACCATCCCTACTAATGCTCAATTGTGAATAGCTTAAGCAAGTGAAGAATCCTCCACTTTGTGCGACTGTGGAGCAGAGCAAACAACTCAGTATCTGTATGCTTGCCCACAATGCCCTGCCTCATGCACAGAGAAAGAGCTGCTTAAAGCTACAGACAATGCAGTCACTGTTGCCCATTTTTAGTCTAAACTCTCACGAATCTACAACCCCATAATTCTGCAGAAGGCAGCAACCGGATTTAAAGTGGATTCATTTTCTAGTGTGATGAAGCACAAAAACTAATTCGCTGTTGTGACCCCTTTATTTTATCAGTTTAAAACTTACTTATTTATGCAACGCTTTTGAGAAAAATAAATAAAATAAATTCTTTGGCAAGGACAGTGCCCCATTCTTGCTTTTCAAAAATAGGACTAGGTCTTGTTCCAGTTTGTCTTCACTACTGCCAAGATACACTGAGTCTGCAATGTGTGTGTATATATGTGTATATACACACATGCACGCACACACACACACATGCACGCATATTTGAGCAAGTTTCCTCAGACTTGCTGAGTACTTACGTTCCCAAATCAACATATTTAAGGCATGCCTTAAAGATTAATCAAAAACCTACCAATGACGTTGAGGTGCAAATGAGCAATGGCTGATCCACAGTCACTTTTCAGCTTCAGCATAATAGCTCCGCTGTCTTCTCTCACACAGTTCTTGATGGTGAGCAATGCTTGGTCATTGGTCCTTTCCATCACTACCCTGTCTTCTTCAGTCACCTCAACGCCATCCTTAAACCAAGTAACTTTGGGCAAGGGCTTGGCCTTGAAAGGTACCTTGATGTAAGCGGTCTGCCCTGCTTTCACAGTCACTGGGTGAGCAGCTAAAGCTTCTAGTACAGATGGATCAATATAAGGCGGATCTGGTAAATAGAAAGAAAGAAGAAAAAAAGTGGGGAAAATATGTTTGAAAACTACAGATACTCCTTTGAATAATTATCGCCTCCTTTGCATAATTAATTCTGATTTTGCTAGATGGGGAAACAAGTTTATGTCCTATCCCTCTCTTTCTTAGTAATAGTAGTAATCCAGCCATACTTTCAACTGCTGAAGATACACCAGGCATTGTCCACTTACTTTCAAGCTCGTCTTTGCCACCATAAGGGCTAGAAAACCACTTCTTTAAAAATGAAAGCTGACTTTTTTAACAAGCGGAATAATAATATAGCTAAATATGAGCTGTTGTAGTTTACTGTTCTCCTAAACAAATCTTGTGAAAAAAGAAGGCAATAATAATAATGATAATGATAACAACAACAACAACAACAACAACAACAACAACAACAACAACAACAACAACAACAACATTTTATTTATATTCCGCAGATTAAGGAAAAGGCAAAGTGAATTCAACACTGGAGAAAAATCCCACACTGTACCTGCAATACTAACAGTGGCCTCACTCTCGGCCCCCTTTGCTCTGAAGGTGTACTTCCCTTCAAATTCCTCCCCCATCTTGTCAATGATGATTTTGTGAACAGCCCCTTGCTTGATGATCTGGATTCCTCTCATATCTGTAATCTAAAGGAGAGATCATCAAATCTTTACCAAACCCCGCAATCTTGTCACAGTATTAGAGGCAGCAGCATCTTACAATTGGGTCGCAGCTTTAAATTGGTTTGCAACTCTTGTAAGGCTTTGTTAAGTTGATTAAAGATAATGGGAATAGGAAGCCAATAAATAAATTGACAATAAAATAAACTGGATGATCACTGTTGGCAACCTAGGTTTGCATGTACCTCTTTACCATCCTTCAGCCAAACACCTTCTACTTTCTCATCATTCAGAACAACACAGAGCTCCGCTGGGTCCCCAGTTGCTGCTTGGACATCTGACATGCCGCTCTTCACAGTAGCAAATCTCTCTATATGAAAAGAGGAATACTGTTAGATCCAATCTCAAAAGATACTGATTTCAGCATTAGTTGATCACATAAATAATAAGTATACCATATTTCAAGCTGAAAATGTGTGTGTGGGTGTGTCTGTATGAAAGCTCTTTGGTGTCTTTTGCTACAGCTGTGCTATAGTCCTCTGGGTCCAGGAATAAGTCCTAAGGACCACTGGATTGAGCAGATTTCCCATTTGAGAGTCTAGACAATGCTCAGGAATGCCCTGGTCTGTTTGGTCAGACCTCGCCTGGAGGGCTGTATCCATTCAAGAAGAATATTGACAAGTGGGAACATGTCCAAAAAAGTATGTGCAAGATGGTCAAAGGTCTGGAATTCAAGCCTTCTTCCCCAAACATATGCACATTTACAACTCATAAACACACTGTTTCTACCAATGCAATGGCAATGAAAGGAAATGAAACATCTCGTGACACTTTGTATTCCAAAACACACTCTTGGGTTAGTGTTTGGCAACTCTTACCTTCTACGGTCACATTACAATTGCTGTAATACTCAGTGGGGTCATTCTCTTGCATGGCAACTACCATATATTCCCCTGTGTCACTCTGATCGGCATCATCAATTATCAGCTCTGCAGTCTTCCCTTCATGGATCATGGTAAATTTTTTAGACCTCTCAATCACCTTCCCATTCCTCATCCATTTCAAGGTAACGTCTTTAGTTGTCAGCTCACACTCCAGGGAAGCTTTCCCCTTCTCTTTCACTCGGACATTCTTCAGATTCCTGATGAACTTAATTGGTGTTCCTTGAGAGAGAAGAGAAGACAAAGACAAGGAAAAACCACAAAACTCTGTTGGTTTCATTTTTCTGCTTCATTTAATGTCAAGCTTGTTCCTTCTAATGTTTATATGGAAGCATGTATGTATGTACATATATAGGTAGACTGAAATCAAACACGTTAGCAAGATGTGCTTATAAAATAAAAACACACACCACAATGGCTGAGATTTTATATTACTCAGGAAGGTGTAAGAATTCTTCAGGTGAAACTCTGCTATTACTCCCCACTCATCATTACCAGAATGAAACGTTTTGTTGTGATAGCCCCTGAACATCCATTTTCTGGCTGGTAGGGAATGTGTGGGATTGCTCTGTCTAGTAGCCAGAAACAAACTGATATCTTCTGCCAAGATCCATTGAGATCATAGCAAAATAAATCATTGATCCATGTCAGGGTGTTGGGCAGAATCACAGCTTCTCCCATCCTCACAACTTCCATATACCAGAGAATGGCTGTTCAGGGAAACTACCAAAGATTAAATGCTAGTCTGAAAGAGGTGGGATTGATTATTGTAGGGAGTAGAAGAGAACACTAAGCTCTGTAATCACCTGAAAAGACATACATAGGCATGAGGTGTACTTAACACTTGTATAGGCCACAAACAGAATGCTGGCCCCTGTTGGCACAGTGGGTTAAACCACTGAGCTGCTAAACTTGATGACCGAATGGTCACAGGTTCAAATTCAGGGAACTGCGTGAGCTTCCTCTGTCAGCCCCAGCTTCTGCCAACCTAGCAGTTCGAAAACATGCAAATGTGAGTAGATAAATAGGTACTGCTCTGACGGGAAGGTAACAGCGCTCCATGCAGTCATACTGGCCACATGACCTTGGAGGCGTCTATTGACAACGCAGTCTCTTCGGCATAGAAATAGAGATGAGCACCAACCCCCAGAGTCAGACATGGCTGGACTTAATGTCAGGGGAAAACCTTTACCTTTACTATTCACTTTTCAGAAACAAATTTGAAATCCTTCACCACTATCTGTACTGACCACATTCAACAGGTATGGCAATTCCCAACATGAAGAGGAGCATGCTGTACCTGTCTGCAACATAGTGTTTAAAATTGAGGAAGCCATTAGAGAAAAGGGGTGGCAATGCTAACCCAGGAGCACAACTAGAATGGTTGAGTTCATCGGGATTCACAAGCAGACTTTTAAAACCTCAGATTTCAAAAGCTTGGGGATGGGTGGGCAAATTATTTAATTTCCAGTTCACCTAAATGTTGTAAAACTCTAATTATTCTCCATAGCATTTATAAAGAAGTTTGTAGATTTTGGAAAATAGTCATTAGAAATGAACAAAAATGCAATTCTCCTCTTTCCCTAACAAACACTATAAGTTGCTGTACCCCAAACAGACATTGGTTCAGAATGAATTTGTAAAGAAGGTGAATAGATAATATAGAAACACTTTACCAAAATGTAAGCCCACAATATACATTTATTGCTCAAAGATTATGTTATCTTGTGTTCAACTAAAATGACAAAAAAATCCCCAGACATTGGCTCCACAGATTTCAACTGTGAGCAAAGAACCAAAGAAATCAAGGACAGTGATAAGGTTGACAGCTTAAGAACAGTGTGTAGGTGTTGGAACTATGCAAAAAATTGAAGACCCAGATATAGTCTATGTAAGTGACATTCTTGAATGTTAAGGAAGGTGACAACACAAATTGATTTGCCATCTAAAAATACTCCTTTCTTATGATCCACAAAGGTATTGCTGACATTTCACTATAAAGTCAAGGTACCCTGATTTTCCTCTAGCTGAATATTCTATGTCTTAGGATAGCTTCACATGCCATCTAAGATGCATGCATGTATATAGATGACACCATATGACTATCAGAAAATAGTAAAGACTTTGAGCAACAACTGGTGAAAGTCAAGGAAGAAAGTACAAAAGTGGGGCTACAGCTGATTATTAAGAAAATAAAAATAATGGCTATTGAAGGTTGAAATAAATTAAAAGAAGATGCTGAAGATGCTGAAATTGTTTTCAAATCTTCCATATCTTGGCTCAGTCATTACTAAATATGGAAATTCTCATCAAGGAATCAGAAAAAGACTAAGACTTGGAAGGACAGCAAAGAAGGAATTATATTAGATCCCTGAGTGTAAAGATCAAATTCCAAAGATTGGCTGTAATATTTCTGATTGTATGTATGGCTATCAAAGCTGGGCCTGAAGAAAGATGACAAAGGGAAGGGGTAGGCAGGAATCCCTCTTTTGGAAATTTGTTGAAGACCAGAGGAAGCCAAAAATGCAAATAAATTTGTCCTAGAAAAGAAATTGAAGTCTGAAGCCAAAATAACTAAATTGAGACTATTTCACATTGGTCACATCATCAGACAATGGAAAACACTGGAAAAGATTATATTTCTATAGAAATTGGAGAGAAGTAAGAAAAGAAGGTGACATTACAGATGGTTTGATTCAATAAATTAAGTCATGGTCTTACATTCAGAAGATCTGAGCAGGAAAGTTAACAACTGGGGATCTGAGGGGTTGTTTATTCATGAAGTTGGCAAACATTGCAGTCGACTTGATAGCAAAGAATAGCAACAACCATGTATAATTAATTTCTCACACAACATAAATCTTGGAATCCTGGCCAACTCAGGGTTCCCAAAGGCATGTAGTCAGGTACATCTACATTCCTATATGTCACCTACACCATGTGGTTTTTTTTGCAAGCAACAGCAAGAAGCATAGCACAAATATAAAATATAAAATATCACATAAAATGCATAACTGGTTTTGTAACTCCTAAAAACCCAGTAGTTTCTCCTGGACAATATCTCCAATACTACACTCCTAAGATCTTTACTTGTATATTTCATTTGACTCCCTCTGTTACTCGCTATAGAGAAATCTGGGATATCTTGGAGGTTTATTGGTAGAAAGCTTTTCCTTATATACAGAGTATGAAGGGCAAGTGAGTAAGCCTGGTTGTCCCATGTGAGGACTTGGTGCTGGATCCTTATCAGTGAAGTTGCTGAGGTTATGGTCTTTCTTATAAAGTAAAAAAAATCCCACCATCTTCTGCCCTTCTGCAACACACAATATATGTAAAATTTTGAAGTCAATCTCCTGATGATCCTATATTTGTTTGGATATATCAGATGGAGGCATATGGTGTTTATGTTGGAAAAGTCATTTTTTAAAACCATCCCAGAATGACATGGCCAGCATGGTCACTGTAACTTGTTCTAATACTTGGTACAAGCATATCTGTTATGTGTGAATGATTTTTGCCTCCAGTTCACTACCAACTGCACCTAGATTTTTGTTGAACAACTAAGCAGCTTGTCAAGAGAACCTTTGTTCAAAACTTGGCACAACTATCTCCCTTGATGTTTCTTTTTATTTTAAAATTAAAGCTAACCAATAAGTAAGATCATATCAGAATAATAATTTTTCACATTTTTTCTATCCACCAAACAGGATGCATGAAATTCTTTCTCAAGATTGATTTCCTCTTACTCTGAATAAAAAGTTCGGTCTTGGTTACTAGATCTCCAGTTTCAAAGCTGACGAGACCCATGTCACTTGGACGTGAATCTTTAATTTTCAGTGTGTGGGTTAAGCCATCTTCTGATGTGATGATTTCATACTTGTCATCTCGCTTCAGTTCTTTCCCATTGAACTTCCAGGCAAAATTGGGCACCTTTTTGGAAAGACGTATCTCAAAGATAGCGGTCTGCCTCTCAGTTACTTTCAGAGGTTTCAAGTCTGCCAAAAACGTCAGAGGCTCATCTGTTAAAATCAAAAACAAGGGGAAACATACAGTGACTTTCACTATGTATATTTGGCCCCAAGACTGGAGATGTTTCTGAAATATGAACCACAACCTCATATTGTATACATCAAACCAGCTCTACAGAAATAAACATGGCTGTGACTTGTACATGCCAATGATATGACTCATCTTCCCATATGCATTATAAATCAGTTATACCTATTACGTGCAATCTTGCAGAGAGTTGCTTATCGCCTACAGTTAGAGTGTATACACCCATGTCCTTTTCAGTCACATTGCTGACGTAGAGCATATACTTAGTGCCCATCTGTTTCACTTCATATTTTCCTAGAGAATACTGGAGACGCAAAGGTTCAGCATCCTGGAAAAAGATAAGATTGATAACTTTAAAATTAAATAGTGTAAATTGGAAGTACATTATATTAAAGTGGCTTGACACAGCCAATTTGGCTTCTTCCAAAGAATCAGAGAATCAGAGAAGGCCATCCAGTCCAACCCCATTTTGTCATGCAGGAACACACCATCAAAGCACTTCTGACAGATGGCCACCCAGCCTCTGTTTAAAAACCTGCAGAGAAGGAAACCCCATCACATTTTGAGGCAGCATATTCCACTGTTGAACAGATCTTACCATTAGGTAGTTTCTTCTGAATGTTTTGGTGGAATATCTTTTCCTGCAATTTGAATTTGTTCTGCTATATTCTAATCTCTGGAGCAGCAGAAATCAAGCCTGCTCCCTTCACAACATGTCATATTTTCAAAAACGTAATCATGGCTAGCATATTTCTTCTTAACTTTCTTTACTCTAGGCTCCTTAAGATGGTCCTCAAAGGATTTGGGTTCCAGATCTTTGACCATTTTAGCCACTCTTTTCTGAACACTTTGCAGCCAATCCATATCTTTCCTGAATTGTGGTTCCCAGAATTGGGCACAGTATTCCAGGTGAGGGTTGACCAAAGCGGAAGAGAGTGGGACTATTACTTCTCTCAATCTAGACACTATACTTCCATTGATTGGTCTAAAGAAGGATGAGTTCTTGCAAAATAGCTCCTTGGGTTTGCCTGGGGTTCACTTGCTTCGTCCTGTCTTGGTGCTGTTTGCTATGATTTCCTGGTTCTGCATTACTGCTGTTTCATATATTTTAAAAAAATCAGGGCATAATTAGTCTGAAGGGAGATTTTTCTCCTTCGTTTTTAAATTGTTTTTTTAAAAGAGCTATCGTGCTATGGTGCAAAAGTGTCACTTTAATGATACTTTTTAATACTCTAGAAGAAACGAGAGAATAGAGAAGATGAGCTTTTTTCATTCTGATCTGTTTTGATAAGTAGTGCATTTTGTGCATTTTTGCTGTTTTATATATCTTTTGGTTCTTTCTACTTTACGTAAAATTTTAAAAAATTAAAAACTTGTAAACATGATATTTTGGTATTTGTAAGAAACCCACTTGAGAGTGAGTTTAAAGTGTTGCAGCTGGTACCAGGAGTTGCCAGAAAAGGGTGTAAGACAAGAGAAACATCAAATTGTTTTTTTTTAAACCCTGAAAATGATAAGAACAAATATGGAACCCTCCTGACAATGTGATGGGTGGTAGACAAATGCATAAACTATATTGTCTCTGAACTTGTCTAACCCAACATTTTCTTGTGTTAGATAGGTTAACAATGTGAAAAACTTCATTAGAAGAATGCCAGTGCTGATGCATTCTGTGAGGTAGGTAAACGAAGTACAGAAAACCAAGCCAAATTCATGAGAATCAAACAATACAGAATATTATGAAAGGGATGAAGGAAATTAAAATGGGGAAGTATAAAGAATTGGAAAGAAAATGTATATTAAAATGGTATAGGACCCTGGCCTAATTATCATACATGACAATAGTTTTCCTCTCCCCATGAAGTGGGGAGAGAAAAAACATTTGTCTGCCTCACACGAGGCAGGGAGGAGTTCTGGTGGAACCCTCCAGAACATCCGGGGGCGTGGCCTGCGAGCACAGGCCAGGCCCTCCCAGGCTCATTCCGCGCCTGGAAGTTGGAGGAAAAGGACGGCGTGGAGGAGCTGGCGGACCAGCAGCACGAAGAAAGAAGTTTGGAAGAGGAGCGAGGATTGGAGCGGCAAGAAGCAAAGAAGATCTACTGAAGATTGAAGAGAAGAACGAGAGGAGAGAGGGAGGATTGGAGCGACAAGAAGCAAAGAAGATCTACTGAAGATTGAAGAGAAGAACGAGAGGAGAGAGGGAAAAATCAGAGGGCGAGGAAGTCGGCTTTCGAAGGTCGGTTGCGGGGCCCGGGGGGAGGGTGTCTTTCACTTCACCCCCCCCCCCCTTATTATTATTCTTTCTGGTTCCCTCCAGCGGGGCCTGCTGGCCGAGCAGGCAGGACCCTTCGCCTTCATTTCCCGCCACACACCCCCTCCCCGCCCGATATTTGGGATGAATTTTCGCACTCGTTTTGAGCGGGGTGTGAGCGGGCGGGTTTTTTGTTGTTGTTGGGTGTGGGCGATGCGCCGCTGGAGATTGCGGCTTTTTGCACCCCCCCCCCCGTGACGCCCGTTTTCACGCCCATATGAATGCGGACAGGCGGGCTTTCGGTGCTTCGGCTTGGGGAGCCGAGCGTGGCTACAGAAATAAATAGGCCTTCCTTCTTTCCGTTTAATGAAATTTACAGTGGTCTATACCCCATTAGGATGGCGGAATAACGCCAAGCGGCACTCCATATTCCCCCCCCCACCTCCCCCCTCTTCTTCCCACACCGTGGGTGCGGCCTAGTGAGTGTGCGGGGAGGGTGGGGGATACATCTACTGCGACGGAAGGAACATGGGAGATCGGTCGGTCTGCCGGCCATGCGGCGGCCGCATTAAGGAGGCTGCGCCACGCGCATGCGCGCGGCGGGTGCGCGTGGCGGCCTAACCAGACGCGCCGCGCACGCGGCTTCGGGCCTTGCGTGGTTTTGCCGCCTACGGCAGCGGCGGGACCCTGCCTGGCTGGGAGGTTTGGGCGCGAGCGCGGCCGCCATCTTGTGAATAGACGCGGCAGCCATTTTAGAATCATATATATTGATTATAATAATAAAAAAAGGGGGGGATACTTTGTTAGACAGCGGATGGGCCCCCCAGTGGTGCGGGGGGGCTAATGCACTGAGCTGCTGAGCTTGTTGACCAAAAGGTCGCAGGTTGATTCCAGGGAGCAACCTAGCAGTTTTAAAGCATACAAAGGCAAGTAGATCAATAGGTACCGCGCTTGCGGGAAGATGACAGCGCTCCATGCAGTTTTTGCTGGCCACATGTCCTTGGAGGTGTCTATGAACAAGGTGGTCTTTAAGCTTATTAATAAGGGATGAGCACCACACCTCAGTATCAGACAGGACCGGAATTGATGTTAGGGACAGTCTTTAACACATTTAATAGGGAACATAGCTACAATGAAATAAATGTACATGGGCCCCAACCACAGGTTCGGGCCAGGTATATAGGGTGAGCTCTCATTTTAGCCCCAACTTGATAAATATCAGCTCAGGTTGTCCTTTCGGTTAGGATACATGCAAATGTGAATAGATCAATAGTGGTAGCCAACTGGAACTGTGTTCACGCTGGTCCCGCTAGCAGTGGGGGACACCAGAGCTAAATCTGTTTTACTGGCGCTATATGCTTATTAACACAGTCACCATTAATTTTTTCTTTCAGGATGGCGCCAAAGAAGAATGTGGGCGGCCCTAAAGGAAAGGGACCTGCCAAGAAGATGCCGGCGAAGCATCCCCTCCCTCCCAACGAATCATCATCGGAGGAGGAGGACGTTTCAGCCGAAGAGCTGAATGCTCTGATGGCCAGGATGGACAAATTTGAAAGGGAGAGGGGGTTTTCAATGAGGGAGGCTGGGCCGCGCCCGGCGCGGCGGGCTAGTAGGAAGCTGATTTTTAAAAATCTGCTCTCTCGCATGTCTGTTTTAGAGGCCGGCCGAGCAGCTGCGATGCAAGAAGGAGAGCGGCCCAGCCAGGCGGAGCCCAATCAGAGGGAACAAGATCCCCCGGCCCCGACGGTTGGTCAACCTCAAGCGGTCGTGAGCCAGGTGTCGGCTGACAAGCCAGCAACAGCAACGCTGGCCAGCGCAGCTCCGGCTGTTAGTGCGGAAATGCAGCCGGCGAAGACAGCTGCATCATCGGCCACCGCACCGGCTGATCCGGTCAGGTCATCTCCTTCGGCAACACCGGCTGTGCCAGAGCCGGCGGCAGTGAGCCAGCCTTCTATACAAGCCGTCGTCGTGGATGGGCCGTCGACATCCGCAGGTAATAACACCACACTGGTCTGGCCCTGGGGCCTGAGCCAGGCGCAAAACACTACACCTACTCTCCTGAGTTCGGCCCTGGTTACAACAGGAACTTCAGTGGCTAAGGCTGGTCCTCAAGTTCCTTTGGTTGCCCCTATAACCTTAGAAATGGCCAGGATGGGGGATGACAACCAGTATTGGGGAACAGATAAATGGGTTTTGCCAATAGTTCCCACTGCAGCCTCAGCCTCTTTGGGGGCTCATTTGTCACAAAGAACCATAGACAAGATACTCAGAAATGAGTATATAGATATGTTTTCATTGTACTTTAGGGAGTTAGATAAGAAGGAAAAAGAGGATTTGGACGAAGAACGTAAAGAGAAGCTAAAGAAAAGGCGGGTTGAGCAGAATTGGAAAAATTGGATAGCTTGCTATACCATATATGCATCCCTGCTAGTTGAAGCTCATCCTTACAGGGCCAAGGCCTTGTTTAAATATCAAAATATAATATATGGGGCATATGTCAACTACACTGGTCAGGCGTGGCTGGTTTACGATAGTCGCTTTCGTTCTGAGGCCGCCACGATGCCTAACAAGAGATGGGACCTCATTGACAGTCAATTGTGGATGGAGGTAATGAATACAACCAGAGCAGTCTCTGGTGAGAAGGCTGATAGTGGCCACACTATACAGAACGCTAAAGGGAGTCAGCCCTTTCGGCAGGGAGGCCCAGCACAACAGCCGCAAAGACAAAAGAGTATGTGCTGGGAATACGCGGCCCAGGGAGCTTGCGCCCGCAAGGACTGTAAATACCAGCACGCCTGTGCAATATGCCAGGGTAACCACGCAACCAAGAGTTGTTACAAGGGAAAACCCGCAAGAATTGGGCCAAGAGGCGCTCAGTTCAATAGAAGGAACCCAGGACAGGGGAATGTTCCAAAAGGGCCCCAGCCCAATCAAGGTGGGTTCGCTTAGTTGCTGGCTGGAAAGATACCCTGACAGAGCTGCAGCAAATTACTTGCTTCGCGGCTTTAGAGAGGGCTTTCGGATCCCGGCACTTGGGCCACGTTCCCCTTGTTTAGCACCCAATTTAAAATCGGTTA